TTTCCTCGCGCATATGCTGACATCTACATACGCACCTGGGACATGAGGCACTACAGTGGAGATCGATGAAGAATCACAAGGCGATCTGATTGATCTGTCGTACCAATCTCCAATGACCGAACCACCCACCATCCATGGACCTCGAAGGACTGGGCAGATGGACTCGTCTGCGATAGTACCACCCAGCATGGATCCCTCACCGTCGTCAGGTGTGGTATAATTGTAATTGTGGGTATTTATCTGTTTGTGTAGGTATTTGCCTCTCTGAAGGGTGGTCGATTTGTATATTAGTAGTGAGCGCTGTGATGTATATACGCGAGTGAGCAGTCGAACGTGGCTGCGATTGTGCCACCCAGCATGGATCCCTCGCTTTCAGCAGGTGACGTATTCGTATATATTGACCTGCTTATGTAGTTATTTATATCTCTGACTGTAGTTTGTCTGTGTATCAGAACATCCCTCGCTTTCAGCAGGTGACGTATTCGTATATATTGACCTGCTTATGTAGTTATTTATATCTCTGACTGTAGTTTGTCTGTGTATCAGAACATCCCTCGCTTTCAGCAGGTGACGTATTCGTATATATTGACCTGCTTGTGTAGTTATTTATATCTCTGACTGTAGTTTATCTGTGTATCAGAACTGAGCGCAGCTCAATCGGCTTGCTCACTACACAATTGCATAAGTAACTTGTGCTTTTGTTGTCTTCATACGATACACAGGCGGGTAGGATAAACCTATCTATTCTACGCGTTACCTACAACCTAAGTTTATTCTCTCAATCGCCTGCGTCCGAGGTTCGGGTGTATCCCGCAATTTCAATACACATATTTTTTTGTCGACTATACACTCACTATACACAGAAGCATTTGATATCCTGTTCTTCCTACACCCAGTACTTGTAGCCTCTTATGACTCTCACCACGTTGTGTTGGATAATTGTCTATTGTATGCAGGTGGTTTCTACAATTGCCCCTATCCCACGAACACCCATAGCCCAAGGTCTGCTCTCAGCCGACCTGTGTCCGAGTTCCGGATCTACACCGTTGATAGCCCCCATTCACACCCCTTCTACTTCCACTACTGTCATATATTTCTCTTTGATTATCATTCAATGTCCACGCTTTCCTTCTCCCAATCCCTCTCCCACCAGCTTCGAGTATACCAAATCCCTGACGCCGGCTCACCCGGGCTTACTGACTGTCCTCAACCTGTCCTTTATACACAGGCGGGTACAGCAATCTGCCCTATCCCACGTTACACCTACAACCCAAGGTCACCCCTCAACCGACTTTTGTCCGAGGTTCGGGTGTAGATGGCACCACATCGCTCGACATCTCAGGCGCCGGGTTTGATGCGTTGGCCAAGGGACTGAGTGAAACAGCGGCCGAAACCCCACAGATCAATACCGGAACACCTTACCCTTCGTCGATCTTTGCAGGCACCACGGAGAATATGTCTGTATATCCACCGAAACAGTCTGCGGAAGGTATGGCTAAGCTAAGGGGATTGTTGCGACTTGGGGTGTGTGTTGTGTAGTGGATGATTTATTTTTACACAGACAAGTCGGGTCTCAATGGCAGCGTGGCGGATTCGGAGTTGAGGTGATACAGTGTGTGTGGCTTGCAGGCGAGGTTTGATACTATAGTTGGTATCTGTAGACCCCCTTTAATATAATATATTTATGTATCTACCCGAGTGAGACTGAACGTATGGCATGGTAATATTTAATCTCAGGTTTAATACACCCCATTCACCCCGTGTTCCCCTCCCGGCTTTAAACTCACACAACG